TCCTCATATTTGCTCTAATCACTCAACTCATTGAGTAACACATCTGATAAAAAACGTTGTGTATGATCGTTGCCATTTCCAGATGTGAAACGCAAATGTTGGTTGGCTCCCAGAAATGATACTGGTGATTATATACATGAAAGACACTGATATGTTACAGAAGGAAATCTCAACTACGAATACGAAAATTTTCCATCACTGGATTTGCCAATTAGCTAGCACTAAATCCTTGAATTGACGAAACAGTAACCGTTAGTCTGCTCTTTGCAGCAGAAGACATACGAATCATTTAACTTCTTAGAAAAAAGACTCCCTTATTTTTAATTTTTATATTCATAATATTAATATGTAATCGCAGCTATAAAATGTGATTTTACATACGAAACTAGACAACCCAAGAGCCTGTTTTGTTCATAATAAAAATGTCCAAACCGATCCCTGATGTTAATAATTTCCACGTAGAGCACAGAAAAATAACAAAAGACCAACTTTATATCGAAACTCAGAACCTGAAAACCAGTTTGATTACCATGAATCTGAAAAAACAACCTATTATTCGATAATACATCGTTTGCACACGTTTCTTCTTCTGTGGAAGGGCGCGTGCCCTGGCGCCTCCAGAAGCCTCCAGGTCTGGTCGAGGGCGCTGTGCGGACGTACTGCGTTCCTCGCTGCGATGCCAGCGCACAAGCCCGGAAGTAGATGACTCATTTCGATGGGAACGTGATCAGCAAGCTATGATGACGGTGGGACCAGAGGTTAGGGATACGGGAGAACCCAGAGCAAACCTGCCAGGAACATTCCATGTTTCATGTTGAAGAATCCGTGAAATAAGAGGCAGGAGAAACATTGCCGCAAACTCGCCATAAAGGATGGAGAAACAGTGGAATAAGAAGCAGGAGAAGTTGGAGAAACCAGAGAACATCTGCAGCGAACCGTCCATGAATGGAGAAACGGTGCAGCAAGAAGCAAGAGAAACGGGAGAACCCAGAGAACCCTTGACGCGACGCCCGCTCGAAACACTTTCGTCACGTAGTCGACTTTATGCAATCGAATGAGAATCAAAACTATGAATCCCCATCAAAAGAGGGTGATCTGGGCTGTCCGGGTGACGCCCCGTCGAAGGCTGAGTTGCCGACATTTCGACCATCCTGCCGTGGTCTTCTCACGGCGCATACCAGCCCTGAGGAAGCCCACGACAGGAGGGTCGAAACGTCGGCAACTCAGCCTTCGACGCGGCGTCACCCGGACAGCCCAGATCACGCACATGCCTCTGGCCGCGGAAGCCTACGACTTTCCCATCAAAACACTTTTATTTTTAATATACACGTAAAGAAATAACAAATAACAGAAAGACAAACTTTATAAATCGAAACTCAGCAAATCAACACGAGATTAGCTCTACTACAAGAAACAAGATTCATTATTCTTTCCGAAGGTCATTTTTCAGCCCTCGGTGGCTCGTTGGTTAGCGTGCTCGCTTTTCACAGCTCAATCTCGAGTTCGATTACCGGTCGGGGCAAAATAATAACTGTGCGCTTTCCTTCCAAATGTCAAAGTATCTATTGCTGTGTGACAACGAGAAAGCCCACCCTACGTTTATGAAGACCAGACTCTATGATGAAGGTACACCCTGATGTCACGGCCGAGAGGCCGGGCTCCCGCAGGGTCGAGGCCCGTATCGGGCTGTCGAACTAAAGGACAGGAAAAGGCAGGTGATTTTTCGTTCAAATGAACCTCCCTGCACGACAGCCCTGGAGGCAGGGCTGCCAACTACCTAGTGAGTATATGAATATGAAGGGAAACATACAAAACATTTTTTTTCTTTTCAAAATGTCATTGTTATCTTTATATTGTCATCAAATCGTTATCAAATTTTATGTAATTTCAGCAATTCAATATTTCAAAGCAAAAACAGCACTTCGCTTCGCATTTTTGGATATAAACTCATTTAACATTTTTTGCAAATTTATTTTGACGGTCATGTCGCTGTGTTCATGTAAAATTGCAACACTGTTGAGCCGATCTCACAACAAAGTTGATCGCATGTATAATTCGCGTCGGCGTAATAAACTTCGTTCATTTCTGGAATACAACGTTTATGGAATATTTCTCTCACCCGAAATTCCGAGTGGGGATTTTATTCACTCGGAATTTTTCGTGTGGGTATAGCTACTGACCATACCCACATTATCCACCGGGCCTTCCTGGAGGTATAGTGCTTTTGTAGTAAGCATAGGGTACGTGCCGTAGCTACAGACGGACTGAAGGCATAGGAACACTTTCGTCACAGTCGACTTCATACAATGGACCGAGAACCCAAATTATGAATGCCCCCAAACACTAATATTTTTATTATGCACGTAAGGAAGTAACAAACAACAGGACGAAAAATTTAATAAATTGAAACTCAGCAAACCAAACCCGATTCGCTCTACATCTACAAGAATCAAGATTCTAAAAAGGAGAAGAAATCAATATATCAAGAAGTAATCAAGATATTAAGATAATCAAGTAAAAACCAAGATTTTATTAAGGTAATCAAGATTCCATAAAGGTAATCGAGTAAGAATCAAGATTGTACAAAAGTAATGCTTAAATGTCGTATAACGTCAATTTTTCTTTCGAATGCCAGTGCGTTAGGCGCGCATGTGCCCTGGCCGCGTGTGGCGGGGTCCTGCGCCCGTAGTACACACAGCGTACGCGGGGCGGGGCGGGGCGGGGCGGGGCAGCGGGCAGAGGGCTTTCCGAGAGACCGCGTCGACGTCCGCGGCCGCCCTCTCACGCGCTGCCGGGCGCGCCGCCCTCTCTGTCCGCCGACGCAGGGGCGGCCTTTGGAGCGCGAGTAAAAAATCGGCGCCGGAGGCCACGCAGCGAGCTGGCGCGCCACCAGCGGCGCCGCAGGGAACCGAATTCCTCGCCGAAGGACCCCCGCGATCGTGAAAATCGCTCCACGCACCCCCACCCCCGCCCCACCCTCGCCTCTTTCCGCTCCCGCGGAGGCAACACACCGCGGCGGTGGCGTCTCGGCGGCGGCGTCACGTCCGAACACACAAAACACGCGCACGCACGCTCGTCGGGCGACGCGGCGCTGTGTTGATGGAAGTGTTGCTGGAGAGCGCCGCTGGCGCCGCTAGGGGGCGCGCCGGTGCTGCCATCGCGCGGGCGCGCGGCGCACTGCCTGGTGGCTTGGACGTTGTTCCGCAGCGTGGAGCCCGACCGCAGAACCCGGGGCCGGGCCGGTCGGGGCGGATTGGGTTGGGTTGGGCGTTTTGCCCGGTACGACTGATGCGGTCGAAGACCCCGCTTCGCAGAAGGCTGCCCCACAATCGGATACAGCGCTTCCTATTTTGAGACTGTCATCGGAAGTAGGCCCTGGGGCGAATGTGCAAAGCAGTGGCGCTCTTACACAAATCACAAATAGAACAGTTCCGCTTATCTCACTACGACACAATAGAACTTCCAATGAGTTTAATAGCCCACTAGTAAAATGTGCCATTGCCATTTCTTTCATTCCTAACTTTGTTCAAATATGGTCTCTCAGTATCTGGCATTGGACTTACCAATGAATCGTAGTAGCTGATGTTACACTCCCGTTCAAAAATTTTCAAACCCAATTGGCTTTGTATGTTACCTCCATACTGGATATGAACTGGTAATATTGCAATTTCAAAATTACAATCGCCGTAACAATACTTGAAGGTATTGATGATGCGAAGAGTTAAATTTTAATGCAGCTACTTTTTTACGCTTTTTTGCTAATACATTACGCACAAAGATACACATAGCATACTGCATTAGCACAAATGCTGAATGCAAAATTGCATATCATTTTTAATTAGTTCCGAAAATTCTCTCGCAACATCTTTTACAAATACATTTGATTCTTCCCAAGATTTGCTTCACACTTCCATATTTTCTCCTCTAATTTTTGAAGAGATTAAAACTCCACAAACTCATTGTAATTTGGGTTTACCTCTACTTCTGCAATTTCTCGTTTTGTATGCGAAACTATATAAATATTAAAAGGTAAAGGTTTTGTATGTTTGTGTGAATAAGGTGTTAGTTAAGATTAATAAGAATAAGTTGTGGGTTACATTCATTTGAAAAACGGTATTTGCACACTTATGTAAAAACGTAAAAGTAAGACGTCGAACGTAAGAACGTTCATTCATTCTCTACCATTACTCACAGTTGTGTTTTCTCTGTATTCACTTGAAATTCAAATTTAATAAGTTTCGAGGCAATACTATTCATAGGTTTTCGGATTTTTTTAATACGATAATTCGAATCAAAATTGAAATAAAATCTGCAGTCCGATTCTCTTGATAATTCAATTGTCCACTTAAAGTTGGGAACGTCAAAGAAACCAAAGAAAATTATGGCGTGAGGAGAGAAAATTGCCTTTGGGTACTGGAGTGTAATCAACGCCACCTACCCAGATATATTTAGATGGTGTTGGTTTAATTCCCGGCATACTCCCTAAGATCGCAGCGCCAAACGCGAAAAAACCCGTTTTATAAAATTTCTTTGAATCGTATGGCCGGATCCGAAAACAAGTTTTCAGTTCACTATCAGGAGAACGATGCGCGTCGAGCGACAACTCAAATGTCTCGATTGGTGCAAGGGAGAGGTCGAGCCCTGAGTGACGGATCCGCCCAGCCATACACTTACTCAAATACTGTACAGGGATTAGACGCACCCGAAAAAATGTGTATGTTTGAAATTAAAGAGCTTTATTTTAATCACGGAACGAGTATAATATCTTCTTCCTAGGCAATGTTACTGAATTGAAACAATATCAATGCAAGCATTTCAATAAAATTGTAGTGACAGATGTTTATGGTAAAATTCTAAGACATTTTCCATAAAAGCACACTTTGTTATGAAGTAGAACTTACCTTTTTGTTCGACTTGAAGACGTTGCATTTAAAGAGGTCAGATGAAGAGTCGCGCGCGATGTAGGAAAAGATTTTGAGGTCTTGCGAGTCGTGAGAGACGTAAAAGATACTGCAAATTAAAATTTAAAATTATTGATGATATTTAAATTATTCCGAGGGATGTAAAGGCAATAATTAAACTGAATACTTGCCGGTAGATCGGATGATGCATCAATAGCAAACTGTTTTCATCTATCCATTGTTTCTTCTGCAAAAAATAAAAATTATTTTATTTTAAATATTTTATTTTAAAAAAATAAATAAAAATTAAGAATTTTAAAAAGTAATGCTTATAAGGTGAGTTACAATAAACTAGTATATTAATAATAGACGTAGAAGAAAAGAAATCTAGTAAAATAAATCCAGGGTAATTGGATAATTACTTGAAAATAAATCTAAAGTTACACAGAGTAGTAAGTAAGCAAGTTTTCGTTGATAAATATGGCCATAATTATTTTGTTCAAGTCATAAGAAATTTCACAAAAAATTAGCATAAGTGTCATAAAGTACATGCTTTAAGTATTATTACGTTCCTACATCTACAATATATCGAAGTCTCAATATCTTGAAAGCAACATTACGGTTTCGAAATTCGATGGACAATCAGACTCTTCGCGGATGACCACATCGTGATTCGAAAGATTAGAGATCAATTCGGCATTGATCAGTTGCAAAGAGATACAATGAAAAGTCAAATGATGAAACTTACGTGCCCTGGTGGTTTACTAACCGGATTAAAGAGGTATGTGTTGATTTTTTTCTTTTGACTATCTTCGACAATGTATTTCAGTATTGTGATTTTTTTGACGAATGAATGAAATGTTCCCAGGAAAATAGAACGAAACTAAATGCAGAGAAAAGCAAAAAACAGTCGGACCTCCATATATCGAACCTCTATAATCGAAATTCTCTATGAATCGAATTATTTTTCTGTCCCTTGAAAATTACGTTAAATCCGTCTCTATATATCGAAAATTATTTCTATTTATCGAACTCGTTTTCTGAACTGCCTATTTTTTATTAAATACAAATGTACACATGTTACAAATTATGATCAATAATTGGTCAGGGATTTTGATTAACAGAAAATGCTCAAGATAAAGTGTTTCAGTGGGTTAATAAGTGTGAATAGTATTTTGAAAGGAATGCATCATACGTGCAACAAGATATTATCTTTTTTACTTAAAAAAAATTAATTCAATATTTGGTCAGGAGCGTATGCAATACTAATTTCATGTTAGTATTTATAATTATGTGGTACGAAATTGGTTATTTATTGTTGAATTTTCCATTTTCCCCAATGTTTCAAAAATTGTTTAGATGCATTTGCAAAAATTTCATAATTATTTCTTTACATCGAAGTTTCTATGTATCGAATATTATCGAAGGAACCGTCAGATTCGATATAAGGAGGTCCGATAGTAATAAAGTTCAAGAACTCTGGAAACTCACCACTACACAACGAGTACAAATAATAGCATTCCGTTTAGCACTAGTCTTGGCTTGCAATGTGCCCCGCTAGGGGGGTGCTGGGGGGAGGGGGCACCGCGGGGGTAAAACATGCAGCGCGCAGGCGGGACAGGCAGTGGGCAGCCCAGGGACGTACCTTCTTCTTCTTGCGCAGCGCCACGCGCACCCCGTCCACCGACACGTCCACCGTCACCTTCTTCTTCTTGATGCCCTTCGCCTTGAACTCGTACTGCAACACACCACGGAGCGGCACGTCACACACGCGCCCTCAAACGCAATGCCAAGATAATTAAAGCCAAGGGTATCCATTTATTTATTTATTTACGTCCAAACAGTTAAAAACAGGATGTGACATGCTATGGGGAGACGTTGATTTGTAGTTACATTTCCGTCCAGAAGCAAAACAAGGAGCAGCATTGCTCTCAGAATTTGCTCAATGGTTCAGGGAAACGGGAAGAAAACCTGATCGAGATAGGGGTCATTGACCCGGAAGCTGAAGTACAATACTTATTACGAGCTCTTTACAATTATACAATCCAAATGGTAAATAATACACTAATGTCATTGTCACATAATGTCATTGTTAAAATTAATATTACTTTCCTTTTGTATGCTCCATATAATCTCTAATTGTATAGAAACAGTTGTGCAGCAGACAAAATTTTACTTGAGACAAACTTTTGTATCGAATTTAATCGTTTAATGTCATCTGGCAAGGTGTTGTAAAATAATGTACATGTATTATATGTGAATTTTTTGTAGTGAGCTGTTGATACTGAATCCCACTTGCAAGACCTCAAGGGTCACAACTAAAACCTGTGTAAATAGGCCAATAAATACTTTGATGAGATAATGAAAGGACTGCAGAAAACCAATATTTATGTGTAAACACTGTATTGTGGCGTCGTTAACACGAGGGGCAGAACCGTTAGGTCGGTGAAAGTGCGCTGCGCGGGAGGAAGGGGTTGAGCCTGAACTTCCGGGATTTTGCGCTCTGGCGGTTGACTCAGGTAGAGCTGCAGAGCGCAAAAATAACCTTAGGCTGTAAACTCCTAGGATGCTAGCCCAGCGAGCCCTCGCTACGACAGCAGGCGAGCCAACCTGGGAATCTTGTGTGTGGGGGCGTAACCCCTCTCTAAGAATGCTGGCCAGCAGCCTCGCTTGCCGACAGCAGCGAGAAAATATTCTAGGGACAGAGGGGGGGTGTAGCCTCAACTATTTACGCGGCGCCATCTGCGCCCGCGTTCTCATTCAGTTTACACGGAGAGCGTGGCTGTATCGTGTAGTCAAGGAGTGGTAGCGAGTGTGGGCGAGATGTCCGGAGAGTAAGGGCCAGACGCATCTCGCGTGCTGTAGGCACACGGTCCGCCACGACCGGTTAAATTTTGGCGTTAGGGCATGTGACCGGTAATCTGTCACCGGGCGGAAGTCGACAGCTCGCATTCAAGCGTGGCTATTTTTAATCTTCTGCGGTAAAGCAGGGTACAAAAGGAAGGAAAAGGTTTTGCCCGGAGTGTAAATTTAGCAATTTATAGTAACGCTAGTTGTAACTTTTAATAATACTAATTATTGTATTTTGTTATTTGAAACTTATTTTCTCATTTCACTACGTCACAGTATTAGGATAGTACATAATTTTTTGTGGCTAATTTTGTGATACTACGTCTTGGTATGTGCCTTTGTAACATAAGTGACTAATATTCGAAATAAGAACATACAACTACTACTGTGATTTCATGTATCAATAAAAAAATATACTGTAAGTATATAAATTGTAAGTAAAATATGGACTTAGAGCAACAATTTAAAACAATTTATAAAAAGGGTAAACACTGTAATGTATTTTTATCTCAATTTGTTATTTTGTAAATTTCATAATAAAATATTTAAAATGTAACGCATTGTTTTAATCATGTTATAAATTACATCATGTAAAACCCCAATATTGCAATTGTTACAAATAGGACTTTTATGCTTTTAACTTAACAATTGATTATTTATAGTAAAATATTTCATAAGAATACGTTTTATGTATTTATATAGGTAAATTATAGTAATGTCCCAAACTGTACAAGTACTCGTACAGTCTGTTATAATAGAGAAACACATTGTATATTAAGGTCAGTTTGCTTATCAGAGACCATCACAACAAATATTGAAATATATAGGAAAATGAACATAAATAATATTATATAAATATTTATTGATAATATTATGTATTATTCATTATTATTATTTTAATTGTGAATGTTGCCCGCTCCTTGCCGCCCCCACAACGCTACGCCTCCTCTGACTTCCACCTTCCTTATACCTTCCTTCCTTAGAGAGCTCCTCAACATCTTACTGGCGGCGCCGGTGGCGCGCTGGCGTACGAGACGGCTGACGGGGGAGCGCGTAGACGGCGAAACAGCGAGAAGGCGAGCGCTGGCGCACAGGCGTAGCGCGGGTGAGACAGTCGACAGGGGCACGACAAAACATTTCCTTATTTATTGGACCCACGTCAATTTAAGAAATATAAAACCAGAAATTCAAATTAATTTTTTACAGTAATTCTAAAGCAGAAAGAACAAAAGTATTTAGTTTTGGATTCGCAAAACGAAAGTAATCGGTAAGAACATTTTACAAATAATTATAATTTAAAAAATATAACACTAGTTTTACAAAAATTAACTTATTTCTATTTCTATTTTTTTTATTTTTAGTCTATTTTTTTATTTTAATAAATTCAAGCAATGAAAGACGAAACAGATTGTTACCTATCGTTACATAAATAAAAAACGTAACATAAAATCACAGTTTCGAAAGCGCATACCATTAAGTTAATATGATTTGGACGACTGAAAATCCATCAAGCAACTTCGGTGCGCATCAGCAACCGTTTGCTTTACGCGTATGCACGTTGAGTTACGTAGCAATCCCAATAGTTATATTATTGCTGCATAATCAATGTTACCGAAAACAGTTCCTGATCCGTGGGAAATTTCCAGGTCAACTGAAAATATTATTTCGGAGACATTGTATGATCAAACGAATATTAGATTCCGATGACTTAGTGTTTTTAGTAAGACGTTTTCCGACCGTGGGAAATAACCCGACCAACAAAAATTCTGGTTCCAATGACATTGTACATTTCAAAGGTACATTTCTTTCCAGTCATAATTGATGCCAGAAATGTATTAAGCAAGTAGGTTACGATGACTGGAATCGCCCACCAAAACCAGCATTCGACCACGAGACGTTAATAACTTTCGATTTCGCAATTCTATTCACTTTCGGCCGTGTAACTGGAACCTTTGTTATGAATAAAGTTTGCACTGCGAGGTTCAGCAGCGATGGCGATGAAGGCAGCTTGAGGTGGAGTTCGGAGCGGCGGCGACGTCATACGCCAACCAAAGGCTCTCGATGCCAAAAAACATCGACAAAAATATCGATTATTAAAATATGATGAGACATTTCGAAGTAAAATGTCCCGGTTCTAATGTGATACATAACATGTCAATATTTGTTTAAAGTATATTCCACCTTTAAATGTGTCATTCATCTTCATTTTCTAAGGAATTTTCTGTATACTCAAGGTTCAAATTGGAATTTAACGTGATAAGCACGTACAAAATAATAAAAACAATAACAACATTGGAGAAAGTAGCAAACGGTTTCGTGCCGCCTGGAGATCGACGGTTGTCAATATTTTTTTGATTGCGAGCAATCCATAAAAATTTAAGATACTGAAAATTGTATTTATATCATGCCAATTTTTTTAAACATGGATGTTTCTGCACAAATATATCGATCTAAAGAAAACATCGAAAGCAACACTTTGATGTTCTAACCTTGATGTTTCTGCTTGAAAAAAATAGATTTTTTTGTTTGTATGTTTTAAAAACGGATATTTGTTGCCAAACCTACTCGTAGTCGCATGGGAATGGGGCTGATACGGGTGGCGATGTTGAGGCTTCCCTTTAATAGCGGCGTCAGCAAAAGCGCTGGCAGAATTTGCAAAGCGGGCAGCGGTCGGGAAATTGGCGTTGAACTGCCCGCAAGCGTAGCTGGCCGGGAGGCAGGCGAGGCCACCCAGTGAAGATAAAAGTTTCGATTGCAAGTGGGAGTAGAAGCGGTGGGACGACGAGAGATTTGCTCCGACGGGCGACGCGGGGCAAGGGAACGCGGCCTCGCACGTTGCGGGAGCGGCTCGTCATTCGACCAGGGCTGTCCAACTGCCGCCCCAAGGGCCCACTCAAGGGCAGTAGCCGAGAGTGGAAGTCCCTCGCATCCATGTCGGGCGAGAACATTGTGCGCCTAGAGCAGGCGCCCAGCCGAGCTCAAACCTCCCTTAATGTGAAAAAATGTTATGTTTACATTAAAAGATGATTCTGGTAAATTCAAATATTCATATTCATCCCAATGTGTTTTACTGCGTTATGCATATCACGTATGATTGTACCAGGACAAACTACCGAGATCAACGATATGGGGACGTCAGATGTGGATCTCGCCAAGTAATGTAAATAAGGTCCGCGACCACATTAAAGGTTTTGGTAGTGGCCCTTACAAGTTGGACAGCCCTGCATTACACAGGGGCAGCGCGGGGCGGGCGAGGGCGGCCGAGAGGGCAGCGGCGAGCCCGCATGACAGGAAGCGTGAACTCTCTACCCTGCTGCCTCCCAACTCCACCGTGCTTACACACACACGCACACATTCGCACACACACACACACACACACACACACACACGCATATGTATATATATGCTCTCTCTCTTATAAATCTCTCTCGGAGTGCGCGCGCACCATCTCATCTCCACACGCAGAATATACACTCACAGAACCACTGATTTCCATCAAATGAGTAAATACATTAATGATTGCCCAAATAAACATAGCCAAATACTGTTCACTGAGACACGAGTAACAGGAAATGCAGAGCATTGGAAAACTGGAATACAAGGCCCTAGGTGTCTCAGATGTAATTCAGAGAATCGAAGAACGGGGGAGTAATAATCTTTTCTTGAGAACAGATATTAAAATAGGGAATGTTAAAATTGCCGGCACAGAAAGTAACTGTTGGATAGTTGAGATAGAATGAGTTGAGAAAATAGTTGAGAAAGAATACAGAGGATCGGTAGTTGCTGTCTATCACTCTCCAAATGCATCTGATAACAAATATATTGCCTGTATCACAATCAAAGTGTAAGAAATAATGACAACGAGTGCATAATAATAGGGGATTTTAA